TTGTAAATACCACTGATTTCTAGTCGTGTCCTCTTTTGGAAGAACAAACAAAGTAGTTTCGCTTTCACAACGAAACACACTGAGGGCTAGAGTGAGCAGAGGCGGGCAGGCTTGAGAACTGTGCGGCCGGCGGATTCGACAAAGGAGCGTCCGGCGGGCTTGCGGCAACCACAAGTGACTCCACTTTGTCCACGGTGAAAGCCAATCCGGCGATCCACAGCCCGAAGTTGATGTATTTCTTCAGCGACCAGCACGGATCAGCTCCGCTTTCACAACAAAACACACAGCGCCTTCACGACATGGCGGCGGCGGCAACAACAATACTACAGCGAGAATAAAAGTTACGCCTTCTTTCTTTGTGTGAACATTTGGGCGGCACTATGCAAATCTTCCCATATCGTGACGTAGACATGTGGGGGCGTGTTAGAACGAGCTGTTTTAGGTATGCGTGGTTGACTCTTAACTTCTATAAAGAATATCTCTTTGGATTTGAGACTTTAGTCTTTGCAACTTTACAGATCTTCTTTATGCACCAAGAGCTTGTAACACTCCAAAGAGAAAGGAAAAATTGAAATCGCATCATATGACCCCTTTAATAAATTCAGACGAGCAGTTTGCGGTTTTCTGCCTTTATTGAAAATTACACTGCATTTGGTCCGTTTTGCAACATGATTCAATTAAAATCACAGCGCTATACATACATGCACGCTGGAGACCTTTTACCACATATGGCTGCATCCAGATATTATTTAATAACCCCTGAAGTAATTCATCCAGTAGCTTTTCTTTCCATGACAAGAAAAGCAGACTACTGTTGTTAGCAGTTAGCACTAAACATTAGTCGGGGAGGGGCTCTGGGAGGAGCTGAGTAAATTTAGTCTCACGTCACACAACAGCAGATTCGACTAGGAGCAGGTACAATTCAGATATCTTAAAATATAATTGTGACTAGTCGAAACTGAATAAGAGATATCTCTATTTACCTTTGCGTATGTGTGACACCCTATTGAAGATATCTATGACATCATTATAGATATCTTAAATGGAGTTTTGACTAGTCATAAAGTATTTAGAGATATCTCTAATCCGATTTCTTACTAGTGCAATTATAATTGCAGATATCTCTAATTGTCATTGTGACTAGTCGAATTATAATTATGACTCGTCAAAATACAATTGTTCCTATCTTAAAT